TGCTACACTTTTTTCTTTTGAAGATCTCTGTCTATGAAAATGTTATTTGACTTCTCCTTGAGTGATACTACTCAAACACACAATGGAAATACTTGCCAGTAAAGCTATTAAGTTTGAAGTGAAGCATGGTGCAATAGTTATAATCCTTTAACCTGTAATTTCTTCAAATTTCTCTACACTCTGAATGGTGAAAGACAGTGACATAGATACTACGAGTAGTTTGACTGTGTTGTTTGGAAGCATGCTGCTGTGAGCTGCCAATATGTGATAAGAAATACAGTGGGACAAATTTCCACTTAAAAAAAAAAATTAAATTTGGCACAGAAAGGTCATGGGTGATGCATAAACTTTGTAAAAATCAAGGTAGAGCAATTTTTTCTCAAATGCTTCTTAAGAGTTGATCTGTACTATACTGATCTAGATGTTGTGACCCTGGATTTGTGTTGGGTTGTTGTTTTTTTTTTTTTAAAGCTTAAATCTAGAAATGTTCCATGGCGGAGTATCTTACGTTGAACATGGAACATTATAGCTACTGCAGTTCTTCAGAATTAACAAAATTGAGAAGGAAAAGAAACAAGTCTAATTATGTTAGTATGTGGTAACATTATTGCATAACTTAGTGGACATAATACAGCCAGTAAACAACATTAAAGAGAATAAACATGATGGGAAAGACCATTCTGGACCACTTGTCTATCAGGTTAACATCAGTCAAATCAGGGATTTTGACTTTGATCTGGGATGCCCTCCTGCGTAAGTGTCCTTTTTTATGGAGCCTGTGCCTGTCCAGAGCACTCCTGCTGTAGAGGTCTCTGCTGGAAGTGGCTCTTCTGTACTGCAGGTTGGCACTGCTGCACATGTACGTGGTGGCTGGGGGGTCATGGAAGATTGTGCAAATGTTATTTCGTAGTTCCCGTGGTTCCAGCACGTTTCCATGGGCATCCACCTGTGTCAAGGAAGGAACGGGGATTAGACAAGCTCCTCAGCCAGCCCAAGGTGTTTCCCCGATGGACCTTGTGGCTCTAGTGTCCTGGGGCTGCAAGGACAGTCCTGTCTGGTACAGCATTCCCAAAAGTGAAAAGACACTGAATACGCTTTCCTGACTGGTGTGAAATTAGCTATTCAACATCTAAGCACCTTCCATCCTGACTCGGCGCCTTGGTCTTGTAATTCAGTTAATTGTCTCATCCTCTGTGAAGTAAGACTTTTGTAATTTTATCTTTTACTTGGATCGTGGCCTTTATGACATACTGTTCTTTAAAGTATGGTGGCTGGCACCTGAAGATTTCACATACTCAAGATGAAAAGAAGATGTTGCTGTCTCTGCTCATTTTAAACAGTTTTTGACTGTTTTACTGCTGCAGGTTGGTTTCTAAAAGTTTTGTAACAATGGGTTTGTTATATGAAGAGCATGTAGATACACATGTATTTCATCAGTTATTGTAAAATACTCGAGATGAGAATTGATTTTGGGCAATTACTATATTACAGGGATGAAATCATAGCACATTAACTTCATGTGCATGTAGAATAATCCATCTTATTTAATGAAAACTTACATTCAGTTGCACTTCTATGTGTTAGCATCAGAAACAGCTGTTGCAAATATGTTTGTCCCTTTTTTTGTGCTATTAGTCAGAGCACTGTTTTAAATATCAAAGCAAAGAACTGGAAACTGCAACCAGTATGTACATGTGTGGCACAAACAATTATATATTTGTAAATAATAAATATTTTTTATCATTGTCTTCTCAGGTATGAGTGTAATTAACCATGAATTACTGCACTGCTGTGAAATGTTCTCCTTTTCACAAATCTTTAGTTTTCTACACATTTGTAGTAAAACCTCTTTTGAAAAGTTTTTGTGGCATTTCCAGGTTAACTTCTGATTTCTCCAAAAAGACTTAAGAGACAAATTCAGAGATATTTAAACATCCACTGTAGCTCATATGAGAGAAATATACATCACAACACTGGCCTCTTAAATGAAACTTCAAGGTCTGCACCTTGAGGCTTGAATATTAATGTTGTTTTTGGTAACCTGTGCTATTGGACCTATCCCAAATTTATAACAAACTCGATCATGTCTGAGGATGTGGAAAGGCATGTCTGCCTTTATACCAGCGAATAAGTTATTAATTATAGACTATATCTAGTCTTGTGAAGCACCATTGATATGCAGTGCTTTGTTTGTACTCTGAGCTTTACGTTTTAGTAAGACATAGCAGAGCTAGGAAATTATATATTAATCCACAGCAGATATGAAGTAAGTGAAATAAAAAATTCCAAACAAAACTCACAGGGAAACCCAGTCTTGTGGGCTGCTGCAAAGGAAAGATGGGACCAAAGAAAGTTTCAGTTCCACCTGGCAATGGGGAAGATGTCCCTTCCCATCACCAGGAGAAATCTTTACATCATTACTGACAGCATATTTGTACTGTGCCAGACTGAGCACTTACTAACTGAAAGCAAAGCAGTGAAGGGACTATTTGTACAAAAGCCACACAAGAAAACTGTAGGGAAAAAAGCCTTCAAAGTGAATAAGCCTTCACAAATAGAAAATGCACTATTCTGGTTTAAAAATTGATTCTGTATGTGCTGGAATGGACATTCAGTGGTAACACTCCAGTTCCCACCACTGTTTTGGTGGGAAAAACTTACACGTTTTGGGTTAGAAAGGTCAGCTTGTCACAAACCAGCATGGTGTTTCAAATGTTTGCTTGAGATATGGGCTACCCAGTTCATACTTTTTAGGTCAGTTCTTCAAATTTAAGAAGGAGGAAGATTTAAGATAGGGTCTCCTACTCTTCAGAGGACTGCCATAACTATACAAGTCAGAGTAAATGAATAGCTCTGAAGATCTGACATTTTTTCTGTGGAAAAACCCAGCAATCTCAGAGTTGTCTCTGTGTAAAAAGATATTTTTTTTTTAAATTCTCAGAGGTTTTGATAGGTCAATCTTTTCTTCTCATTTTTATGAAACAGCTCTTTGAGCCATCTTTGATTACATAATCTAATGTGTAAGTTAATTTACTTCAGTGTTATAATAATAGTAACAATAATGCAGCATTATTAAGCGGTTATTATGACTTTTTCTTTTGTGAAGAAAGCTCGTAGCTGCCTTTTCTCTGAAGTGATTCAGAGGGATCTTTCTTAAACCAATATGTCCTGATGATTTGTTATGAGCCAAGCAGTGCCTGAAATCCTGCTCTAAGTGTTCAAAAATGAACCTGTTATTTTTAAAATTAATTTAAGCCATTTTAGGCAAGATGATTTGTATGTCATGAAGCAAGTTGGTCTTTGAATTGCAGCCTTTGCAATTCAGAGCCAAGAGCCATACACTGATCTTGACTAAATTAGCTCATGGAAGTATAAAAGATATTCTTATGTATACCTGGTCAAATGCTCTGTGCAATTCCCCACATCATTAAAAACTCTTTCAGGATATTTTGATATAAAGTGTTAAGACTTGTGCAGCTGATCTCCTGCTGCTGAGCCAACACCTGTGCTGAAATCATCCTCCTCAGATGAACTTGCTTCATTTTAATCTAATTGTAGTACAAATTCACACCTCCATCCAAGGTACCACGACCCCTCACTGGGCACGTGCTCCACATTTTATTGACTCTAAGAGTGAAGTAAGAGAATTTTACACCAATCAGTAACAAAGGTGTGTATGACTAGAGTGACTCAAGTTCCACCTAAATGTAAGGAAACAGGTTACAAATAAGTTCAGAATAGGGAAAAATCAGGGAGGACTCCATTGTAACCACTGGCATCGGTTGATGGGCTGAACATGCCTTCTTCCCCACGGGGATGCCATTGGGTAAGAATCACTCTGTGTGGGCTGAATGCTTTCACTGGGGATTAGAGTTTGTCTGTGTATGCTTTAAATATCTGGATAGTCAGATACTATCACTGGCAATCTTGAACATTAGCCTGTCACCATTTTTTATTAATAAATAGTGATATTCCATAAGCTGTTAGTGTGAGTCTTTGCCAGGTGCTGGCTGTTGCTTGCAGTGGGTAACATAAATCAAAAGGAAGACCCTTTAAGGGTTCATAAACTGGGAAGACCTGCTGAGGGGTCTCCCTTAGGCTGTCCCTGACTAAGTCAGTCAAATCAGCCCGTGATCCAGCAGGGCAGTTCAGTGAAGGGTGCCCCTAACAGGATGCTGACAGACGGGGCTCATCTTTCCTGACAAGCACGAAGGGTTGAATGGATGTCCCCACACTAAGGGGGATGAAACCTCCTTTTTTCATGTGGCACTTAGAATATGAATTTCCTGCTTAGGATCATCAAATGGTATTGTAAGTGTAAAACAGTGAAAGCAATAAAAAGAAAACAACCCAAAGCAACAGTTGGGAGACAAAAGGTAAGAACATCTGTTTTCTCTCAATACAAACCCATTGTTTCCTCCTCTTAAGATGAAAGACTCAGGGCCATGTAACTCACACAGGTTGTCTTATTGGAACAAATGCTGTAGTGTTACCACAATCTGATTTGCAGAAAAACAGCTTATGTTCAGCAGGACTATATTAATTCACAAGGAGACTTACTTGAAGGTTAAGATTTTTTGTGTGGTTATGTGCTTCTCTTCTTTTTCTTTTTCCAGTAGCCACTGTATTGGAGAATTGTAAGTTTTCCTCAGAGCCTGTGGCTGGTCTCTGGCTTTCTATCCCAAGTGTTTAGTGTTTGACAGGGTATTTAGAAGGAAAGTGTGATGCTGTGCAGAACTGGGGAGACAATCTATCACTTGCCTTGTGTTGATAAACCTTTATAAACCTTTTGATGGTGCAGCCCCTTTCCCACTCACATCATGATTGCATCCTACCTTTTTTCAAACTTAAGAGATATCTTCTATGTAATTACTATTGACCCTGTAATTGTGTGGGGGAAGAGAAGCAGTTGCATGCATGGACTATCTAAATATTTTCTTGCTGGGTGTTTTTTTCTATTTATATATAATTATGGTGATGTCAGTGACATCTAGGTTTGATGAATGAACAAGGAGATATAAACAGTCTTTATGCTTTATTCAGAGAAACAGAAAGATTGTTTACTACAAATTAATAGTTTTTGTATATTAAAAATAAAAATGGCATAAACTGTAAAGCTGGAGAGACTTTATTTCTATCTTCTTCAGTCTGTAGAGTATGGAACAGCCACATATGAAACAGCACTTCTGTTTCATTTCTCATCTGGTCTTCTCTATACTGTTCATATCGTGGTCAGTTTGCTGAGTGTTGCTCATGCATCTAAAGCCTGTGTTATCTGGTGGAGGAATTTGAACTCTTTTAGTCTTTGGAGTTGTATGTCAGATGGGAATGATCAATATCTTCACCTGGCACAAAGAGATGAAACACTGTCACATATCTTCTAATAGTTACAGGTGCCTGTATGCATAAGTGGTGTGGGTCAAGAGCAAAGGGAAACAATGTCCTATAGCTATACATACTTACAATTGTACTCCTTTTATCCTCAAAAACCAACTTTCCCCTGCTCTAGTGCAGGCATCATAATACCAGTGAAAAATATCAAAAAATGATGGAGCTGTTTCACTGGAGGTCACATAACCTCGCTGTGTCCCACTGCTCTGGCCATGTGCACTCTTCCTGCCAAAGACAGAAATACAACTGTTGGAAATCAGCATTTCTATGCTGAGTAAAATTAATGCTCACAATGTCTCACATCAGTGTGTGGAACACAAAATTCACCAATATCCATTCACATGTGTATGTTTATGTATATGTATGCATATATATATACACACACATAAATACACACATAATACATATATATATGTATTTACAATCACAAACCCACACTGTACAGGCAGAAAGCAGTCTGTTCACTTAAAGCACTCTCAAGTCTCAGAATGGGGTTGCTGTCTGAAGTGTGAGTACTTAGAAAACCTGGTACAAAGCATGTATGACTTCCTTTTTCTATCAGAAAAATGGTGGTGTATGGTGCTTGAAAAATTTTCCATCCCATTCTGAGCACCAATCCCAGTGTAATCTTTGCTGCATAACATTTAGACAAAAGCTTTTAGTTATGAGTTTTATGGAATTTTGTTAGTTAAATGAACTCTCCAAATATGTAGGGGAAGAACTTACCTGCACTCCTGTCCTTTACTCAGTTCAGTGCACTGGGGCACATGTAGCCAAGGCTGACCTCTGAAGAAGTCTTGATTTCCTCTTCATCATGAGTCCTTGCTGTGCTGCTTCTCACGTAGGCTGGGTTATCTCAGGAGCTGTTGAGGTAGCTGGTCAGAATTTGTGGGTTATGGTTTTTTTTTTCCTTCTTTATTTTCCATAGAAATTGACAGTGTCTGTGCACGACAATCCATCCTGGGGTGGTTGATCTCCTGTGCTCTGTGGAAGACAGTGCTTTGTGGGGTCTTGGAGGCTGCTGATTGCCTGAACTGAATTTGTGCCCTCACTGTAATAAAGCATCTCCTACACAGTGGGACAGAAGGCAAATGTAAGTAAGAACTTCTAATAGGCTCATGAGTACACTGAGACTGAGGATAAGACAGCTTTGTTAATGATGCATAGCTGTAGTGGCGGGACACCAAACACACAGCTCTAGAATTAAAAAGATATCAGAGTTTCTGAAATGCACTTCCAGATGTGTATGTGACAATGTAGCCATCTATCAAGATGAAGTCTTACTTCTTAGAGTTTTATGTGTTGGTCTCATTCTTCAAACTGAACAGAGGGCTCAAATACAGCTTTGTCCAAATGTTATCACCTCAGGCCACAGGAGTAAAGAAGTTTATAGGACAGCCTGCGCAAGATCTCATTCATACTTGGATGTAATATATTGTAAGTAAAGCACAGGAAGGAAGAAAATTTTTGGCTCGTTAGGATATATATTTTCCTCTGAGTCAGACTGGGCCAAATACACCTGAGGCTTCTAAGGGTTTGTTTCTGAAAAACTGGGGAAAAGTGAAATAGGTTTATAGATGTTTGCAAGTGCTCAGTGATGTATTGCAAAATTAAACTCATCCTCATTAAAAATATGTCCATAGTATTACTTTCTGCAAATTTTCTGGCTTGTTTTTTAAAGAGGGGATAGTTGTGGTATGCCTGAATTTAGCTGGGGGAAAAATCCTGACATCTATGAAAGCTGTTATAACCAGCAGCAGCATCCTTGTGTTCCTCAAAGGTCAGTGCTACAGGCTTCATTCAGGGCTCACTGAAGCAACCGAGCTTGTCTATACTTTTTATTTTTGGTGAAATTTCTGTATGTAAAGAGGAACTTTAATATAAACATTTCTTCTACACCACCTTCTAAAGCAAAAAAAGATACAGCTGAAGTGATATTTAACTTCCTTGTACCCCTTGTATTTCTTCTGCAAGAAATACAAAGAAGAAAGAAATGTGTCCTAAATATTCATTTGCATTTTCTGAATTTTCTTACTCTGTTTTCAGTTGAAGATGGAACAGACCATATGTTGCTGTCATCTCCTTAAAATACAATTTTTCTCTAGGCAATCTTAAATGCTTTTGCATTGCTTTTGCACGTGTTCCACCTGTATTTATCTCTATCATCACATAAATGAACATTTTTAAGTAATGTTTGAAAACATAGCTTGAACATTTTACCTGGACTCTGTTTGTTTCCAGTCTGCTCTTCTCTCCTGTAGCATGTCCTGCTCTGCCTGCTGTCTTTTTTTGACGCTGAGGTCCTTTCCCAAAGAATATGTAGTTTACAAAGGCATATTCCAGCAAGGCCAGGAACACAAACACAAAGCATCCCATCAGGTAAATATCTATTGCCTTGACATAGGGGATCTTTGGCAAGGTCTCCCTGAGGTGGGTGCTGATGGTGGTCATGGTCAGCACAGTGGTGATTCCTGTGAAGGGAAGAAATGAGATATTGCCGAATAAGACAAGCAAGGAGATCTGAGCACAAAAGACATAATAGCAGCACTGCACTTCTCATGCAGATGGGTTAATTATGTGATCAGGTTCTTAGCAGCCAAAGGAGTGTGTTTTGCAGAACTGGAAATGAACCTTACAAGTCTGCTGATAGCACCTTCCTTGCCTTTTCATGCAGTGGAGGGTAAATGAAATAACCTTCAGTAGCCCAGGCTGTGTTGGAACTTCTTGCCTGAATTTTTGCAATAACTGCTAGGGAATGTGGTGTTAGTTGACCTGGATAGCAAAAGTTGATTGCTGTTCTTTCTATGTGAGAAAATGCTTCTGACTACATTTGCAGCAGTAGCTCTTCTTCACCCTATATTTGACATGCATTGCTGCAATAAGTATCTAGCTTGTGATTTAAAATGGAGGATTGAAAGGAGAAAGAGAAGCCTTTTGATGAAGTGATGGTCTTTGATGAAGAGAAAGTGATATATATGCTTGTACCAAAACAACTTTTCCTGGTTGCAAGTGAAGCATTTCCATCTCATTATGTTATCCACCACTGAATGATTTTTTTTCTCATATGTGTTTTTTTCTTTTAGCTGGTTGAAATTACTTTTTATTCTGCTTTAATCACAGGTCGTTAGTGCATGTAGATAGCAGCTCTAGGCACAGGTGTAACAAGTTTAATTTGCAGGGAGATGGCACAAAATGACTTTTTGGCAATAGAGCTGAAAACCATATATGCCTTAAAGCACAGACAGTGCAAAAGATCTTCATTCTTATGGAAAGTTGTAGGAAGGAATGTGGCATGGGAAAGAACCAACTATAGGTAAACCAGACTTATTTGGTGTAAGCTCCACTGATGTCAGCAGGATCTTGTGTATTCCTTCCAGTCACAGATCTGGCCTGAGAGAACACTTTTTAACATCAACAGGGATTGTTCATGCAGCACAGTGTAGATACCCCTAGATACCTGAATTAAGAGTTTTATGCTCCAGTTTGGAAGCAAGATGCTTTTGGCCTGATCCAAAGATCATTATGACAACAGGAAGTCAGTCAGAATTCCAACCTAAGTGTGGAGCAAGAGCTTCAGATGTAGGCAAGGTCACACCTGCCTGCCTTCCTGACAACCAAGGCCCTGTGCTGCTGGTGTAAGCTCACAATTAATGTGCTACAACCAGCAGAATGGATTTGGTGCCACTGTTTTAAAGGCAGCAAGTGTCCACATAGTTCAGTAATTTTGAGAAGAAGTTACCTAGAGCAACTCTAGCTGCAGAGGCATCATAATTGATCCAAAAAGACACCCATGACAGAATTGTGATCAGCGTGGAAGGCATATAGGTTTGCAAAATGAAGTATCCAATATTTCTTTTAAGGCGGAAGCTAAGTGATAGTCGAGGATATGCTCCTGAAAGAAAGAAGTCATATAATGACTAATGCCTTACAAAAGGTAGGCACTGATATTTCTGAGTAAGAGGAAGAGGGAACAACTTTTTTAACTTGTCAGTGCTTACCTGTTGTAAATTCCACTCTCTTTGATACCATTTTGTAATCCACAATAGAAAATTGCGGAAGCTCGATGTTATTTACTCCTGTTACTGCTGCCTCTCCTCCATTCCAGTAAAATTCAATATCATCAGTAGTGTATCCATCTGAAACAGAGGTACAATTTGATTATTGACTTTTCTTTTTGTTTTATGATTTTGCTTAAATAGTTGCAGTTCAAGTGGAAGGAACTGCTGTTAATCCGGAATTCAGCCCTCTGTTGTGTGACATTCCTGTTACACAGGAGCCTTCCCTATGTCCCGAGGAAGCTTCTAGATGTAGAAGAGGAGAAGACAGAAAACAAGGATAGAATTAATTATTAAAGTTTGTTTTTTAGTTAGCTTTATTACAACTACTTTTCAGTCAGACTTGAGGTGCTCAGTTTGCCAAGAGACAGATACATCATCAGCAAAACTTTTAAACTCTCTTTCTAGGAGCTCTGACAGCAAAGCCAGGTTCAGTTCCCGGATTTTAATTTGATTTCCTATGCAGGATGTGACAAAATACAGAGTTGAGAGCCAGTGGAGACAAAGATGATTCTAGAAGAATTAAGGTGCCTGTAGTATCACGTGACAATGTCTGTCATGTTATCAAAGGTAACCCTTTGATATTCATGAAGCGTTTTATATTTTAATTAGACCATGCCAACTTTGATCTTCTGTTATCACAGAACTATTTCTTTTTTACTCCAAAACTAGCACCTTTCTTCTGTTTCCTTTTAACAGTGATGTTGATTATTTATAATGTAATTAAAAATTAATTTGCTATTATATCACTGGAAATGTTAACATTATTGTTACCATTTTCAGAAATATTTTGATTGAACTCAGAAGTGATGGAGTTTCAAAAAAATCTGGCAATTGACAACATTTTTGAACTAATATTTAAACCGGTTCCACTTTATTGCATTTTTCTACTTTCCCCAGATATCTACCAGAGGAGAGAACATCTCATCTATTTTTAAGTTTTTCCTTCAGGTGTTAGATTTAATCAGGTTTAAATCATATAACACAGATCAAATAAAAAACATCTGTTTGAACTGAAAGCTTTAGAAAACTTGACAGTACTTTTGCCAGTTAAATGAACTGCAGCCTTGAAGTCTCCACAGAGTTAGGAACCTATCCTTTCATATGCACAAGTAATGCAATATCATGCTAAGGAAATTAGTCTTGAGATGTCTTTTCCTGTGATGGTGCCTGGTAATATCCTCATTCCTGGAAGGCTGACCACATGCAGAACAGATCCATGGTCTCCCTGGTGACAGCCAGAGAAGCTCTTAGGACTTGCTGCCAGGCTCCAGAGATGGCTTGGAAAGTCTGCAGCTATTGAACAGCTATCTTTTGATGCAAACACACAATGATGGGCTGAACAAGGTTAAATGTTCACAAATTTTATTTCTGAACTGCTCAGTGTCATGGTGTTCTAACTATCAGAATTGCTCTGAGAACCACACTAACCAATGCAATATGGATTGCTGCTGCAAGCTTAAAACTGGGTTTTCCATTACTTATGCTATATTTTTTTTGTTTCAAATGACCCATCCCAGGGCTGTGACACAGAGCTCTGCATGGCTGGTTTTCATTCCTTTTCGCTGCAAAAGGTCGATGTAGCTGCTTGGTAGTGAGCCTTCAGCAGCTGCTCTAAAGGCTGTGCACACAAACCCCAGGGCTGACATGAGCTACATGTAGGGTGTGATACAGAATGGCTGAAAGTGAATGAAGACTGCTAAGACTGTTTAAAATAAAATACCAAGACTGAGATTGGCATTTCATTTTCTTGCAAATCTGTTTTATAAAAACCTTCTCTTGATTAAGACTGTTTAAAAGACCAAGACTGAGATTGGCATTTCATTTTCTTGCAAATCTGTTTTATAAAAACCTTCTCTTGAAGGATTTCTCTTCTCAGAAAAGGTGGTGCAAAACAGATGGCATTGGAACTGCCATCTCACACTGAAAGGACATTGATTATGTGTAGACCACTTTGTACCACACAGATATCCTCTACATGAGGTAATACCCATCCATTGTCTTTAGGGGACAGAATAAAAAACAAAAGGGCCATCACTACCTAGATGTTGAGCAGCTTCTTGCTGCAAAGTCACAGG